CAATTGTGCTTCAATGTTTCTAAAAGATATATGCTTCAATAGTATTGTTTTCCAACGGTTTTTAACCCATCAAAACACGAAATTAGCACATGTATGCAAAACACTATTTATGCTTAAAACAGGTCCAAGGGTCGACACCAAGATAGCAAGGGTCAACACCAGAATGAAGTTCTCAATGCCTAAGTGTTCTAGCTGCAAGGGTCAACATCAAGACGACAAGGGTCGACACTAAATTTCAGAACATAATCCAGCAGCAAGGGTCGACACTAAGAATAACAAAGGTCGACACTAAATTTCAAAACACAATCCGGCAGCAAGGGTTAACACCAAAACTGGCAAGGGTTGACACTAAAACTCAGCAAACAAAGTTCAGGCTTCTAGCAAACAAAAGGGTCAACACCTAGTTACGAAAGGGTCGATACCAAGAACACTTGGAAATCAACTCAGAGAAGAAAAGAGAGCAAATGGTCGATACCCTTAAATCTAGGTTTCAAAAATCAAGCTATCAAATCAGATCTAGACTGACACAGCTAATTTCTTAACCACTTTTTTCTGATCCATGGGCAGAATAAGTCATCATTTCTGATCCTTGAGCAGATTTTCTAACATTATATCTTCTATAAAGAGTTGACTTATGAGGTTGAGTATTTAATGAAGCTACTCTCCCAAAAACCTGATTGCAATCTATATATACCCATGATCACACCTATGCTCTGATCAATATAATTGGAAGGGTTGACACCAAGATAGCAAGGGTCAACACCAGAATGAAGTTCTCAATGTCTAAGTGTTCTAGTTGCAAGGGTCGACATCAAGACAACAAGGGTCGACACTAAATTTCAAAACATAATCCAGCAGCAAGGGTTAACACCAAGAATAACAAGGGTTGACACTAAATTTCATAACACAATCCAGCAGCAAGGGTTAACACCAAAACTGGCAAGGGTCGACACTAAAACTCAGCAAACAAAGTTCAGGCTTCTAGCAAACAAAAGGGTCAACACCCAGTTACGAAAGGGTCGACATCAGGAACACTTGGAAATCAATTCAGAGAAGAAAAGATAGCAAAGGGTCGACACCCTTAAATCTAGGTTTCAAAAATTTAGCTGTCAAATCAGATCTAGACTGACACAGCTCATTTCTTAACCACTTTTTTCTGATCCATGTGCAGAATAAGTCGTCATTTTTTATCCTTGAGCAGATTTTCTAACATTATATCTTCTATAAAGAGTTGACTTATGAGGTTGGGCATTTAATGAAGCTACTCTCCCAAAAACCTGATTGCAATCTATATACATGCATGCTTTGATCAATACAGTTGGAAGATATCCTTCATGATTTGCTCCAACGACTAGAAGATTTATCTATGCTTCTCTCCAACAACTAGAAGCCTTAAATGCTATAAAGAAGAAGCTCTCCATGTTTGAAATATATAACTCTTCAACACAAGAATACCAAAGCATTCAAGAGCTTTTATTATACTTCATTATGCTTCCACTTTCATATATATGTGAGTCTTAGATTCCCTCCGTGCTTACATTTTCATATCCATCTTTTGAGAGAGAAAATTTGTAAAAGATGACATTTGTATCTTTAATTCTTATTCCTTATTTTCTGAGTGAAACACTTGTAAAGTGAGGCATTTAGTTTAGATGTCCTCAACAGATAGAAGTAAATCCCTTGTAAAAATTCACAAGCTAGGTGAAGCTTGGTGGTGTATTGTTTTGATTTATAGTGAAGAAATTCTCAATGAGGTATCTTGAAGAATTGACGTAGGTCGGTGAGTTGGAGCATTATAAATCTTTGGGATTGAGCTCTTCTTTCCCTCTCTTTTATTTTTTGTGTATTAATTGATTGTCTGCTGCATTTACTCTCTTGATTAATTGCAATCAACTTTCTATTCAATTTTTTAATTATCCAATTCACCTCCTTCTTGGGTTGCCTTCCCCAGTAACAAGATTGTATATGTATATGTATGTACACATAAAGTTTAAAAGGGAGAGAGGGAGAGAGAAGAAGATGAAGATGGAGAGAGAGAGAGAGAACTAGGTTTCCCCTGAAATTGAGAGACAGAGAAGAAGATGAAGATGAGGGTATAATTGTCAATTTACAACTTTTATTAACAGAAGTTAGTGTGTGTTTTAGTTCATAAACCATAGAAGAGTTATGTGGTAATTTCCGAATGTTAGGAGGATAAATTGCACCCGGCCCAAACCACATGGGGTAAAGTAAAGTTTGCCGTAAATAGAAATATGCATTCGAGCTATTCGAACCACACAAATTCGAGTTACGAAACATTTTTGTTTTAGTTAAATTAAAAGAATTTATATTTCTATTTATTATACTAGCTCACCTTAATATAGATCTGCCAATTCCTCTAATGCTTTAATCTATCGTCACTGTATCACATATCTTCACTACTAACTCTGTTGGTCTTCGTTATATATGATCAAATTATCTCAATTTATTCTCTCTCAACTGATTTTCTATCAGTATTACTCCTACCCACTCACGAATATACTTATTCATAATTATGTCTTTTTTAGTCTCATCACACATCTACCTTATCGTCGTCATCTCGGCAACACTCGTCTTATTTACATGTTATTTCTTAGTTGCCCAACATTAAGTCAATCCAATAATCGTAATTTATTTAATTTATCATGTTTCTCACGAAATTGATAGGTGGACTATTTTTTAAAATGCATTTACAATTTATTTTTTTTAAAAAAATATAATAAATTGAAGAAGCTGTGATTATTGGTTTGATCTAATTTTTTGTATGGATAATATATATAAAGAACCTGACAAAATTAAGGGGGTTTTTGTTTGCATCTAAAAAAATTATTAAGTACGCTTAATTTCTCAATACACTCTATTAAATTATTTAAGATTATAATTTATTAGGATAAAGCTTGGTAGCTCTAAAATCCCTCCCCCTAATCCCCCTAATTTCCTTTTTTGGAAACTATTTTCTTTTTCTTTTCTTTTTTTCTTTTTTTTTTTTTTATTTTTTTTTTTTTTTTTTTTTTTTTTTACTTGAAATGGCATTTTCGGGGGATTCGGGCTCCCCCCTTTCGGGGGATGAATCACTGCCCAATTTATTATCAATACACTCTATATAATTTTTTCCAAATTGCTCTTCAAGCTACACTTAAATAATAAACAAATTAAAAATCTCAAATTACACCACTTAAAAAAATTCTTTCAAAAATTCTTAACCAGATTAATTTCATTACACTTGTTTCTTTTGTTTACAATTGGCCTAGGAAGCACGGATACAGATTTGAATATGAAATACGGCTATATGGGCATACAGATACAGCGATATGTCAAAAAAAAAAAATATGGGTACAATAGGGATACATTCGTAAAAAAAATTATTTTTTATAATTTTAATAATGTAATATACACAAAAATATAACCTAAAACAAATTAATAAATAAAGAGGAATTCCTATTAAGTTAAGAGTTTTCAAACATTCATAAAACATTCAAAATTAAAAGCAAAAGTAATTGTAAATTAAATATCATTCTTACATGTCAACACTGAAAAAAGAACGAAAGTAGAAAGAAAAAAACATGAGAGAGTGAGAAAGACAATATGGATACATCAATTTGATAAATTCTGTTACTTTAACTCTCATTATAATCCTTTTATGAAATAACTAAATAAAGCATTAGAAGTAATATATGACTTTGAGTATTCGATATTTTAAAATTAAGTATCCGACACTCCAAAATTAATTAAAAATTAATTAAGAAATATCCAATATTTTTAAGAAGTATCCGATACGTATTCGCAAGTATTCAAAGAGCATCGGTATACGATGAGTATCTAATATAGATACATTTTTCTTTTTGAAATATCCGTACTTCATAACAATTGGCACACCGAATTCTCGCATAGTTTCACAATTGAGACTCAAGAAATGATAGATTTTATGAATGAGAGTAAGTTGTTGAACAATTTTACGGTGTTTGGGATGGATTAAAATAGCTCATTATAAGTTAAAAGAGCTAATAAAACAAAACATTCTATCACATTACTTATTTTTTATTTTTTTTCATATTTTTTCGTAAAATATCAAATAACCAACTTAATAATCTATTTCCAAATGGAGGCTGGGTATGTTCCAGCCCATGAAGATAAAGATAATGATGGAGACTGATGCTCCTAGAGAATGTCCCATGCGAGGACGCTTGTGAACTCTTACATTTTGGGCCACTTTCTCCCTATCTTGCTTTCAAAAGCTCTTTTGTTGTTTTTTAAAATTTTGAGTTTTTGAGAGGAGTTGGAATTTGTGATCATTGATTGAAGTTTTAGAATTGTATCGTCGAGAAAGAGTTGCTTATTTTTTGGAAAAGATTTTGGTTTATATTTTGTTAAAAAACTAATGTCATTGAAGGTTCTTATTTATATATTTTTTTCTCTAAGTTTTGACACTTTTTGGCCTGAAACTATAGTTTTTTCATAAACCCTAAAACCCTTTCAATTAAATATATATAAGTGATTAGGGTGTATTACGAAAAAAATAATATTTTATTTTAAAATTTAATGTGTATTACCCTTATTAGTGAATTTATATTAAGATATAATAGAAACTAAAGTTTTAAAATTTTAGTTAGGTGTACTGAATTTATATTTGTGTGCAAATAAAATCACCCACAAAATGAAGGGCTTAAATTATTGAAACAAGGCCCCTCTAGATTGGAGGAAAGCCCAACCAATGAAAAAAATATTGTTAATCCCACACTTTTGCCCGACCCGTGTAGAGGGGACACTTTGCATAGGTTTTAAGATTAGTCCTAGTTTATCCGGACACCCGATTATCCCCTAAAAAAATCTTACGCTTCTATCATAATTACGTTGATTTCTCTTAAGATTTTAATTCAAATAACAATAAAAAAATTTTTTTATTAATAATTCATTAATCATATTAAAAAAAATAATATTATTGTTATCTCTTTTCTACTATAATATATATTAATTTGTATTTGTTTAAATGTTTATAAACATTCCAGTTTCGAATATTAAAAGGAAAAGTCAGTGTAATTATTATATATGAAGAGAGTGAGACTAACTTAGTTTTTTCTTTTTTTCTTTCAAACTGCACGGAGGTGAGTCTAATTTACCATAAAAATAAAAATAAAAATAAATTTACAGAAATATAGAATCACAAAACATGGAGATAACACTAATCTGATTTTGAGACCGATAAAATTAAGGGGGCAGTTACTTATCAATCATATTAATTAAACTTATTTATCAACGGGTTCTGCTAATAAATTTATCGCAATAAATTTGTTTATAAAAATAAGAGAGACTGATAAACTTAATAAGTAATATGTTTTAAAAAATAGGACTTATTAGTAATTTATCCTAAAATTAATATTACACAAACTTATTGCACCTAAATGACTATTAGAAATGTAGAAGTAAAGATTCATGAAAATACTATCTTATTTATCGGCCGGGTTCTGTAGAAACTGTCAACTCATTATTAGAATGGGATGTTTCGGGTTTGTCAAAGGAAGAAGAAGGTGCAAAAGAAATCCACTTCTTTGCAACAAAAGCTGGTTCTTTAGGATTTGGAAGAGGAGTTGTAGCTTCATTAGTGAGCATGGAAAGTACATTTGACACATTTGGACGATCCCTAGGATCTTCTTGTACACACAAGAACCCAACATTTATGCATTTAAAAACTTCACCTCTATTGCAAGATTCAATTAGTGTCTGATCCATCAAATCCAATGCCTTCTCCTCATTCCACAATCTCCAAGCCTGAGATGATAAATCATCCAATCAAAACATTTTGAGTAAACCAGAAGACGTATAAGATTATATATTTTGGTCAAACAAATTTTAGCACTCACATAACCTAAAAGGTTCAGGGCTTGTTTAGATTGATAAAATCCGGTGTTCCTTTTCCCACTGACAATTTCAAGCACAATTACTCCGAAACTGAAGACGTCAGACTTTATTGAGAACAATCCATCTAATGCATATTTGGGAGACATATAGCCACTGCATTATTATGCCAAATTCTAAACTTACGTTAATATTAGTAGGATAGGACACATTAGACAAAGAATGAGTGACTTGAAATCTGCATCACCGAAAACATGGCAATCTTAGTTTGATGATGATACCTTCAATCATACTATACTTACTATGTTCCAACAATTCTCATGGTGTTCGCCTCTGTTTCTTTGCCCTTAACTATCCTTGCTAAACCGAAGTCCGAAATTTTGGGATTCATCTCTTCATCTAAAAGAATGTTGCTTGTTTTCAAATCTCTATGGATAATCCTCAACCTGGAGTCTTGGTGAAGATAAAGAAGCCCACGAGCAATCCCCAAAATGATATCAAAGCGTTTCTCCCAATCCAAAGACAAGCACAATGTTCGATCTTGGAAATGATCCATTAAAAAAAGAAAAGCACAGTTAGATTACCATGTTTCATATATATTAACTAGTGAAGAAGCACGTGCTTTGCACATGGCCTGTAAACTATATAGTAAATGTAGCACTGGCATTTGAGGAATTTGGTTATAGAAGCTAACCAAATATGAATGTGTCTAAGCTTTTGTTTGCCATATACTCATAAAGTAAAATCTTTTCATCGCCTTTGATGCAGTAGCCCAAAAGTCTGACAAGATTCCTGTGTTGAAGTTTGGCAATCAAAACAACCTCATTCTTAAATTCTTCTAAGCCCTGGCCTAAATGACTTGACAACCTCTTTATAGCGATTTCTTGTCCTCCAAGGAATATACCCTACAAGCATATTTTTAGACAAATGTGGTGTCATTAAAGCAGAAACAACATGTTAATGAACTTCAATGAGTAAATAGGAAAGGACTATAACCTTGTAAACAGGCCCAAATCCCCCTTCTCCCAGCTTATTTTCATTTGAGAAGTAATTTGTAGCTTCTAATATGCTTTCTAAGTTAAAAACAGGTACATCAATGCCTTTTTTATCACCCTCTTTGAATTCACTCGAATCTAAGAAGCTTTTTACACTTCTTTCCATGTCATACATTTGAATCGCTTGATTTCCCTCTCTTCTTTCTCTGCTTTCTGATGTTGAAGATAAATATACAACTTAGTTATAGAAAATTCTAACATGGAATGGAACAGTGAAATTATCATTAATATTTTCAAGATACAGAATAACGGTAAAGGGAAAAAAAATAAATTTAATCAATGCACATTATAGGGCTGACTAATTAATTACCTCGTCTTCTTGCTGCCATTCTTCTTCTACAAAAAATCAAGCTAATGATGCATAATAGCACAAACATGGATAACACAACAAACAAAATAACTCTGGTTTTCCAATTAGAGCTTCCGGATTGCGTAGATCCTCTAGATCTCACTGGAGAAAAAAAACCAAAAGAAAAAAAAAACAAAGAAAATGTGAGAGAGAGAGAGAGAGAGAGAGAGAGAGAGAGAGGATGGCTCTCTTAGATATGAAAAAGCACATAATTGCATCTATCTGATTAACAACATAGGTACCCAATAAGCAACACAAGAGGCAATGTTTACAGTTGATAATCAATTATCAGCAAATCTGACTAATAGTTTCATTCATTTCTCCAGCCATTGGGAAAAATCTAAGAAGAAGAAGTAGAAGAAGAGAG